GGAGAGTTGGTAAACCACTTGAATGTTCATGGGAAAGTCTTGAATGCCTGTCATTGTAGTTAACAGGAAGGTTTGACAGGGAAAATGACACAATTAGGGCTGTTCTGCTTTCACAGCTTTAAATGATAAAAGTAATCCTTGTTCACAATTTTAAAAAATCGAATGATATAGAAGTGCTGTCTAGAGGTACCTACTATACAATTACATATTTTTGGCTTTAAATTTCACACTGGGGTTCTCAAAGGCAGTGATTTAATATATGCCAATAACTTGGTTGGTCACATCCACCCAAAAAAAGAAAAGGAACAAGAAAAGGGATTTAATTAGGAAAATAAAAGAATGGTATTTGAAAATATGGATAAACATCTCAACCCTATATTACCCATAACAGCTCTATCTAATCTTTAAAGAGAAAAGCATGCAAAATGTTAATGAAAAATTAAAGGAAATTATGCTTAATGAAGGGGAAAATAGCCTAATATTTTAATAGCCTCTATAAAATAAGTTCAACTGTGTGTGAAAGAGAAGGTAAACGTAATAAGAGAAAAAGCATTAATTTTTTTCCCTTCAGATCTGTGACTATATCAAGCATCACAACTTTCATGTTAGTATGCACTAGAAAAACATTTTTCTATTTTATACATATTAACATAAAATTACTGTTTTATTATGGATGGTTAGGATACTATGTGGCTTTATGAACTCCAGTTGTACAGAAAGGAAAACATGGGAAGTGGGGAGAGTTGGAGATTGTCTAGACAGGGCTCACTGAACTCTGAGCTCTGTAAGGGAAAAGGCCACATCAATTTGTTTCATAGTTTTATCTCCAGGGACTAGCACAGTGCTTGGTATATAGTAAGTACCTAATAAATGTGTGTCAAAGAAATAATAATACTAATAGCTGGCATATATTGAGTGTTTTCCATGTGTCACTATCCTAAGCACTAACACTTCATATAATCCTCACAGAAACTCACAGAATACTTCATAGGGCACCCATCAGTTCACTCACTATAGTGCAAAGGTTAAGAACTTTTGGTATTTTATAATTGCCTGAATTTTAGGTTTCCTCTGATGTACCATTGTTGTCCAAAATATGGAATTTCTTTGCCTGTCTGGTCTTTACCATCTCGCATACTGTTTACTTGGTCCCTTATGCTTGCTGGAATTTTGGTACTTCAGTCATCATGGGTTTAAAACTTTTCTTGGCTCCCAGTGCCTTGGGCTCATATCCCATAATTTGTGAATTCCTGCGCTAAAAGGTCACTCCTGCCCACTCTGTGTGTCTCAGTGTTTGAGCATCGACCCATGCACCAAGAGGTCACTGGTCCGATTCCTGGTCAGGGCATGTGCCCAGGTGGTGGGCCAGATCCCTGGGAGCATCGCTGGTTCTCTCTCACATTGATGTTTCTATCTCTTTCTCCCTCTCCCTTCCTCTCTCTCTAAAAATCAATAAAAATATTTTAAAAGGTCACTCCTTTGCTTTATTTCTGTCGCAGGATTTAGTAAAGTTGTAGTATTCAGGGTCAATATATCATAACCATAGGATAAAAGAAAAGAACTGGGAAGGCTATTAGGTCAACTACATGAATTTAAAATATGTATAAAATTTGGCGCCCTGGCCAGATTGGCTCAGCAGTTGGAGTGTTGGCCTGCGGACCAAAGAGTTGCAGGTTCGATTCTGGTCAAGGGCACATACCTCGGTTGTGGTTCGCCCCCAGCCCTGGTCGGGGTCTTGTGGGAGGCAACCAATCAATGTGTCTCTCTCATGTCAATGTTTCCCTTTCTCTCTCTCTCTTTCTCTTCCTCCATCCCACTCTATCTGAAGATAAATGGAAAAATATCTTCAGGTGAGGATTAAAAAAAAAAAATTCAAGAACAACCAAAGAAAAACTTAGCAAGGGTCTCAAAAGTCTGGTTTTTATATTTTGGAATGTGTATTTAAAAAATAAGATATCTTTCAAGTTTATAACCACAATACCATTATCACACGCACATATAATAATTTCTTAATATCATCAAATACCCAGTCTGCATTTATATTTCTTTGATATTCTCATATTTTAAAATAAATTTTTATCCAATTTTCTCCCAACATTTTGTGAAAATTTTCAAACAGCAAAGTCAAAATAATTTTATAGTAAACATCTATTTACAGACCACCTAGATTACACCATGAATATTTTACTATTTCTGATTTTATCATATATCTATCCATTCCTATATCTAGCTATCAGTTCATCTACTTTTTTACACATTTTAAAGTAAATTACAGACATCTGTGCAATTTCCCTTAACTACTTTAACATGCATATCATTGACTAGAGTATAATATGTATTCACTTACTCTTTTGATGTAAACTTTCCAAACAATAAAAGGCACAGATCTTCTGTGTATATTCATTGAGTTCTGATAAATATACCTACCTATATAACTCAAACTATCAAGGTAGAGAATATTATCATTGCCATCATGCTTTCTCATTTATTTCTTATTTCTGTCCTCTCAAGGGACAGCTGTTCTGAGTTTTTCCGTTATAGATTATATCTTACTGTTCTAGAATCTTGTATAAATAGCCTTACTCTTTTGTGTGAGGCTTTCCCCCAACACAGAGTTATCTACATTGAGAGTTATCTACATTGAGAGTTAATGTTTTGAGAGTTATCTACATTGTTTTGAGAGTTATCTACATTGTTGTGGAAATCAGTGATTCATCCCTTTTTCTTGCTAAGTAATATTCCATTGTAGGAATATGCCACAGTTAGTTTATATATTCTCTGATGGCCATCTGGGCTGTTACCAGCTTTTGAGTATTGTGAATAAAGTTACTATTGACATTCTTATACAAATATTTTTGTGGTCATATGTATTGATTTTTCTTGGGTAAGTAATAATGTTATAAGTAAGCATATACTTAATTTTATAAGAAACTGTCAGATTATTTTTTCTAAAGAAGTTGTGGGTTTTTACATTCATTCACATTAAGGGTTCTGATTTTCTCACATTTTCAACATTTGGTATTTTCCGGCTTTCAATTTTTAGCCATTCCAGTGAGTGTACACTGTTATCTCATTTTCATGTTATTGTGCATATCAATGACATTGAGCATTTTTTATGTGAAGTGTCTGTTCAAATCTTTTGTCCATTTTTAATTAGCTTGCTTGGTTTTTTCTTATTGCGTTGTATTTATATATATATTTATCCTGATAACAGTCCTTTGGCCAATATATGTTTTGTAAATGTTTTTCTATGTCTGTGGATTGCCTATTCATTTTCTTAATGGTTTCTTTGTTTTAAATTATAATAAGTCTAATTTATCAGGTTGTTGTTGTTTTATTTGTTGTTGTTATGGTTATTGTTTCTTGTGACTTGTCTAAGAAACCTTTGCTTAGATCCAAGTCATGGAGATATTTTTGTTTTTCTTCTAAAAGCTTTATAATTTTAGCTTTTGTGTTTGTGATCCACCTAAAATTATTTTTTTATGTGTGATGTGTGACAAGGGTTGAGATACATCTTTTTTTCCATTTGTATATATAGTTTTTCCCGTACCAATTGTTGAAAAGGCTGTTTTCCCCACTGGATTGCTTTGTTGCCTTTGTAGAAATTCAGAAGACTGTGTAAGTGGGGAATCTATTGTTTCATTAATCTCTTTGTTGATACTTCATACTAACACTATACTGTCTTGATTATTATAGCTTTATATTAAGTCTTGAAGTCAGATAGTGGAAGTACTCTAACTTTATTCTATAACAAGACTACTTAGAATATTCTAGGTCCTTTGCTTTTCAACAAATTTAAAAATCTTCTTTGCAAGTTCTACAAAAAGTCTGTTAGGATCCTAATTGGGAAATCATTGATTCTGTAAATCAATTTGTGGATAATTGTCATTGAATAGTATTGAGACTAATGGTTCCTTGAACATGATATATCACACCAGTTTTTAAGTTCTTCTTTAAATTCTCTAAACAATGCTTTCTAGTTTTCAGTGTGGAGGTTTAGAATGCTTTTTGTTATATTAATTCCTATGTATTTTATGTTTTCTAATTCTATAGTAAATGAAATTGTTTTTCTAATTTCACTTTCCAATTAGTGACTGCTAGATTTAAAAATAAAATTGATTTTTTATGTTAATTTTACTAAATTCAATTGTTAGGTCTAAGTGTAGTTTTGTAGATTACTTAAAATTTCTTATGAACTCGTTATGTCATTTGCAAATCAAGGCAGTTTTTATTTCTATCTTTTCTTTTTTAGTCCTTTTATTTGTTTTTAATTTTTTTTCCTTTATTGATTTTAGAGAGAGGAAGTGAGAAGAGAAAGATAGAAACATCAATGAGAGAGAACATTGATTGGCCACCTCCTACACGCCCCCCCACTGGGGATTTGGCCCACAACCTGGGTGTGTGTCAAGACCAGGAATCAAACCAGCGACCTCTTGGTGCATGGGTTGATGCCCAACCACTGAACCACACTAGCCGGACTGTTTTTCATTTTTTATTACAATAAATAAAACCTTCAGTATTTTGAGTAGAGTGGTGAGAATGGGCATTTTGACTTGTTCATTAAATATTTTATTTTATTTATTATTATTTATTTTTTCATTTATTTATTTAATTTTATTTTTGTTACAGATGTTTCTCCTTTTTTACCCCATTGACACTCTTCTCCCCATCTCTCCCCCCGCCCCCCACCCCGTGCCTGGCTTTGTTGTCCATGTCTATTGGTTATGCTTACCTGCATATAAGTTCTGTGGTTTATCTCTTCCCTCCCCCCCACCCCCTCTTCTGAGGGTTGTCAGTCTGTACCCTACTTCCACGTCTCTGAGTCTACCCTATTCCTCAGACTGTTATGTTCATTATATTCCACAAATAAGTGAGATCATGTGGTATTTGTCTTTTTCTGCTTGACTTGTTTTGCTTAGGATAATACTTTCCAGTTCCCTCCATGTCGTCTTATAAATATTTTATTAGTGGGATTATAGCTGTTAATTTTTTTTTTTTTCCAGGGGAGAGTGAGAATGCAACCCTTCACTGTTACAAATTATGCCGTCAAGTTTCCCACATTTGGGGAAATCACAGGGAAATCACAGAAGTGCAATGGATAAGCTTTGCCCTGGGAAACCATCTTGTAATCATGGTATCTCCACTGCCAGGTAAGTATAATACAGCAGTACATTTTTAATGCAAGATATTTACCAGACTCAGAAAGTTTGCTTCTATTTCCAAATTGCTGTGAAGTTTTATCATGAATGGATATTTCCTTTTATTACATGTTTTTTATGCATCTACTGAACTGATCACGTGGTCTTTTTTCTTTACTCTGTTTATACAATGTGTTATATTGAATATTAGTTTGAAATGCTACTGTTAGTCATATAAATGTCTATAATTATTTATGATATTTATGTCTCACTAAGGAATTAATAATGTAAAATTGTAAACATTTTATTATCTCTGGCAACTCTTTGTCTTGAAATCTATTTTATATGACATTAATATAACTCTTCTGCTTTTTTATGTTTTCTGTTTGCATGTTGTAGTAGGGAGTTTCTGAAATGGTTCCCGATAATTCCCATCCTCTTAGTATTCATGCCCTTGTGTAATCCCCTTCCCTTGGCTGTGGGCTGGACCTCGTTAGTTGCTTTTAATGAATTTAATAAGGCAAAAGTGATGGGGTGGGGCTGTCACTTCTGATACTAGGTCAGAAAAGACTTGAACTTGCAGTTTTCTGGTACTCTCTTGCTTAACTTGACAAAACCAGTTGTCATGTTACCCACTGTCCTACAGAGAGGTCTCATGAGATAGGACTGAAGACAGTGAGAAATGGAGGACATAGTTTAGCAATCTGCAAGGACCCGAACCACAACCACTGAGTGAACTTGAAAGCAGGGTTCTGTCTAGTTGAATTTTGAGATGATTGTCACCCTACTCAACAACTTAATTATACCTTTGAAAAAAATTATACCTTTGAGAGATTGTCGGTGAATACTTTGATTGATTGAGCCATTTGGAGGCTGGAGTATCTAGCTAAGTTGTGCCCCAGAAACTATAAGACAACAAATGTTGTTTTAAATATTGATAAAATTAGAGGGGCTGTCAAAACTAAACTGGCAGCCAATATAACTTTAGGATATACCAGATGTTTGCAAGTCAGTTGATAGTGTGGAAAAAGCAATTTATGAGTGTCAGTGAATAGTGTATGAAACTGTAGATTGTACAAAAACTAAATATTTGATATGGATAATGGCCTATGTTCATAAACAGTGGCAAGTTTTTACTGAATCTGTTTAGTACCATTAGCATCAACTTTCTTCCACTCATAGCTGGACTAACTGTAGTATAAGAATCATTCAATTCTTAGGTAATTTATGCAAATGTCAAAGATGTAAATTATTATATCCTGTATATTTACTAATTTTGGATATCTGCTACTTATTTTTTTTAAGTCTTAAATAATGGGTTAGAAAGAAATAAAAATAATAGAAACTTTCTTTAGTGTCTTTGGAAAGAGCACCAGTGATATTATAATAAAAATAAGTTCGTTCATTCATTCATTCACTTGTATTCCACCAAATATTTAATTTAGTACCTTCTATGTGTTAGGCACTGTAGATGAAATGGTGGATAAAAAATGTTTTCCAGCCCTGGCCGGTTTGGCTCAGCGGTTAGAGCATCCGCCTGCGGTCCAGAGAGACCTGGGTTCGGTTCCCGCTAAGGGCATGTACCTCGGTTGCAGTTTGTCCCCGGCCCTGGTTGGTCGTGCGGGTGGCAGCCACTCAATGTGTCCCTTCACATCGATGTTTCCCTCTCTCTCTCTTCCTCTCTCTCCCTCCCACTCTATCTGTACAAAAAAATGAAAAGATGTCCTCGGGTGAGGATAAAAAAAAAAAAAAAAAAATGTTTTCCATACTCTCAACTAGCTTAGATAGTGGAGGAGACAAACATTAATCCAATAATCACATCTTTGATAAGTACTACAACATACTCATGGTACTGGGTATTGTGTAATGGGAGTTCTGATAGTGCGGGTAGTTAGGAAAGATCTTTCTAGGAGTGGTAAGTAAGCAAATGTTAAAGGATGAATAGAAGTTATCTATTCTAGGTTAAAAGAATGGGGATCAGAAGAATTGGCAGAGATAAGAACAAGTACAAAAATACTTAATAAGGAAAGCATTTGGAGAACTCAAGAGAAAGAAAGTGAATATGGTGTAAGATGAAGCTGGAAATGCAGGTAGAGGTCAGACCAGGTAGGTGGTGATATGATGAGTTTGGATTTGCATAATATCACTCTGAATGCAGGCTGGAGAATGGATTAGAAGGAGATACAGATTCTAGAGATAAATTACAATGCTGTTCATGCAACTTTTTATTTTTATTTTTTTTAATCCTCACCTGAGGATATTTTTCCAAATATCTTCAGATAGAGTGGGAGGAGGAGAGAGAGAAACATCAATGTGAGAGAGACACATCAATTGGCTGCCTCCCTCATGACCCCAACCAGGGCCGGGGACGAACTGCAACTGAGGTACATACCCTTGACCAGAATTGAACCTGAGACTCTTAGCTCCGAGGGCCAACACTTCTAACCACTGAGTAAAACTGGCCAGGGCTCATGCAACATTTGAGAACTGTACCAGGAATTGTTGCTAGGTGCTGGAGATACAAGAACAAGATCAACAAGGCTCTTATGGAGTTAAAAGAATCTTAATGATTTTAAAGATAAAAAATATAAGCATTATGAATAAATACATTGGTACTTTTATAAGTATAATGTAAAGTATAAATATTAATATCTTTAATAAAAAGAATAGATTAATGGAAATAAAACTTTTGATCTTGGTTTTGGCACTGACTTGTTACTTGACCTTGGTAAAGGACTATAACCTCTCTGTTGCTAGACTTAGTACAACTCATCTGTAAAATAAAGAATGAGACTAATGAGCTAAGATTTTTTTCCACATCTAAGATTTTACTAATCAAATGAGATAATTTGAAATAATGGCCTCATCATATTTGGAAACCTCTTGCTCCATCAAGGAAAGCGAATTCTATTTGTGAAACTTTAAGTGCTAAATCTGTACAGTCTGGCAAATCTATGTCAAGTAATTTATAGCCTATTGATTCATGTGAATAAAGCAATGATTCATATCCTAATTAATGGCTATTGAGGTGCATAAAATAGCTTCATATGGCTCAAAATGATTATAATTTCTAAAGCCTGTTTTTCAGGCAGAGATGACAGGTTAGAAGATGCTGTATTATAATCAACTTGGAAATATGACATTTTAATTGGAAAATGTTAATAATTCCAAGATAGAACAAAATTCCATGGCAATTTATTAAACATTTTGGAATAAGAACTTAAGTGATAAATTAAGGACTGAATCTTTGTAACTATACCTGATGGGACATTACATATAGCTATGTACTTCGTAAGTGCCTTGAGGGGTCAAGAATGGCGACAGAGAAGAAAAACAACTATGTGAAATCGATGTGACATTACAGCGTTCAGTGTTCATATTTAGTTAAAGTAAAACATTTAATCCTATGATGAGACACTTAAATTTATTATAAAATAGATAAAATTATAGGTTGATAACATTTCATATTTAGAAATAACATCAGACAATTGTAATATATTTCATCACAACTTTAGGTAATAAAAACAAAGTCCATCACAACAAATGTTGTCCATTTTTGCAACAAATTTAATAATTTTTCAGATATACTAATTCTTATTAGTAGATTCAAACAAATTAGCAAAGTGCGAGAAATGCTGTTTATTCTGATTTGAAGAGTGATTGCATGGGCAATGTGCACACTTGTGAATGAGGGTGGGTGGAGAAAGATAGTCCATAACCCCAACTAATTTTCCCAACTTCCCATTCTGTTACCCTGAAGGAGTAGAGGCAAAAAAAAGAAGATGGAGATGGGTGTGGGAGGGAAGGAAGGAAAGAAAGAAACTATGAGTAATGAGTAGGGAATAACCTGGAAGAGGAGCAAGAGGGAAGTCAGGAAAGATGGTCCAGAGTGTCATTCAATTCGGAGATGGGGGGAGGAGGGGCTGCTTAATCCTCCAAAGGAATAATCTTGGTAATTCAATCTACATTTCATTTCTCCCCCTCAGAAATTATTTTATTGCTTGGGGAAAATATGTCACACACTTTAATATACCAAATACTTAAATTCAGTTCAATTCCTTTAGTACTTTTTGTTTTTGTTTTTTTTATCCTCACCCGAGGACATTTTTCCATTTTTTGTTCAGGTAGAGTGGGAGGGAGAGAGAGGAACAGAGAGAGAGAAACATCGATGTGAAAGGAACATATCGAGTGGCTGCCACCCGCACAACCGACCAGGGCCGGGGACAAACTGCAACCCCTTTAGTACTTTCTGTCTGAAACCTGTTCATTCAGCATCTTAGAAATTATGGATAACACACAAGTATTTTTTTAATGGTTTATTCTTTCACGAAACTTCTTATTTTAATTTACCTATCTACCTAGCTAGCTTATACTTTAAACAGTTTTGTCCCTTTGATATATGAATTCAATAACTATATTTCCAGTGAAGGGTCCTGGAGAAAAAGGGTAGCATTTAACACAAGGAATCTTAGTTAGGACCTGCCTTGGAAAGGGAAAGAAGCCTGGCCAAGGGCAGCAGCAAGAGTCATCATGTCTTATAGACAAGACAAGACGGCTTGAGTGCAGCAGGCTTTCCTTAAGAGAAGAGAGAGATTAGATTTAGTGTAGAAGGACTGTCCTCCTTCTGGTAGGAAAAGAATGCAATGGAGGTCTTCTCTGCATCATGCTTTGTCTGGTGGGTAGTGGGATTTGTGTCTGGATTAAGATGAGCCAAAGGGAACAGAAACATAGTGCCATAGTTCCTGTGGTCAGGGGTAAGAAGGCAGTGTAGAGAACCATCAGTCCCATTAGAGGATTACTGGGCTTCAGCTGAAATAACAGTAGTACTAAAAGTAGTAGTAATATTAACAGCTAACATCTATCGAATGCTTTTATGTCAGTATGTTTTAATTAAATACATTAACTATTTTAATCCTCACAACAACACTATGAGTTCAGTACAAGAATGCCAGTTTATAAAAAGACCAACAGGCGCAGAGAGGTTGAATAACTTGCTTGAGGTTACATGGCTTGGAAATGT